GGGCTCTGGGGGTGTTGTACGGCAACAACTCCAGAAGTGCGGAGTGCTACCACCATCACCACCAGCGGTTCCAGCATCGCCGCCTCCATTTCCGATTTCGCCTCCGTCCCTGTCTTCCGCCGCAACTGCCGTACCTTACTGTACTGCACCAGGCTCGTGCCGTCAAGCGGCTGCTGGCGCACCGGCTACCCGCGTACGACGCGGGGGCGGCCAAACAGGAGTGGTACGCCATCGTTGAGGGCGACCACGCGCTGTGGCGGGGCGTGTCGGATCCGTACAAACACACCATCCGGGCGTTCCTTGTTCAGTTCCACACGTCCATCCTGGCGCACAACTCGGGGGAAAGGTTCAGCTTTAAGAACGGCAGCGTGGGTGAGTGTATGTACATGTGTGTCCATGTGTGTATGTCCGATGGAAGGGGGAGGGGAGGTGCATGGCATGTGGAGGGGAGGGGTACGACGAAGCACGGACAATGGACGAGAAGAAGAAAAAACATAGACCGATACCCAAAGGCAAGACCACTGTAGAAGAAGAGGTGAGATATTGAACCAAAGTACAAATTCGTTCGATGTTGGGACGACGAATTTCGTAGGAACCTGACCATACTGATGACTACTTCTCATTTGACAGGGATCAGAGAGAATCTCCGCTATCTTTTAAGGTTACGATGACCGAGTAGCAAGCTTTTGTCATTCCTTGAAGGACTTCAAGAACTATGCTGCCGCAGCCTGGGATTGAACCAGGGACCTTTTGTTTACAAGACAAACGCTCTACCACTGAGCTACAACGGCGTCATATATAATGTGTACAGTCGTTAACATATGAACGATTGCAATTGCGGTGTTCACGTATGCGCGCGTGTGTATCATTGAATTTGAATGTATGCATGTAAGGAAGTGGTCCTGCTTAGTCTGGGGGTTAATACCGGACATGTTCACACACACATAGCCGTACAACCGTACAAACCCTCTGTACAGGTAATTTTTTCTTCGCCGGCGCCCGCATCTTCTTCCGCTCCCTGGAGGCGGCCATCTTCCTGTTCTCCCGCGTCGCCCGACTGCCCGAGGGCTCCCACGTGCTGCCCGCCATTGCCACCGAGCAGCGAATTACACTGGGTGGGGTAAGGGTCGAGGTGGGGGGTGGAGGTGGAGGTGGAGGTGGAGGTGGGGGGTGGAGGTGGGGGGTGGAGGTGGAGGTGGAGGTGGAGGTGGAGGTGGGGGCGGCGCCTATCCTTGTTCTTGTCCTTACCTGGAGCGGGTCCCGTGCGCCCCATCACGGCTGCTGTGATGTCGCCACCTTCCAGTCCTCTTCCTCACCATCACCACCACACGTGAGAACACCCGCCCGCACTCACTCGCACTTGCACTCGCACACCCCATTCGCACTCGGGGGTGGGTATCCTTAAAGCCACCCTAACCCCCCCTACCCTCTTCACGCCCGCACGCCTTCCCCGTGCTCTCTCACTCCTCTCCCCCTCCACCCCAGGCGCCGAGCTGGAGGATGGCAGTGTGCTGCGGGGCCAGAACCAGATCAGTCACCCGCCCCCGCCTGACGAGGGTAAGGTGGTGGGGAGGGGGAGTTTGGCGTGCTTGCAGTGTGTTTGCTTTCCGGGGCCGGATGGATGATTGGGTCTGTGGTGGAGGAGGGATGGTAGGTAGGTAGGTAGGTAGGTAGGTAGGTAGGTAGGTAGGTAGGTAGGTAGGTAGGTAGGTAGGTAGGTAGGTAGGTAGGTAGGTAGGTAGGTAGGTAGGTAGGTAGGTAGGTAGAAGCTTTTCCTTTTCTTCCTGCACCACATGAATGAATGAGTGACCCTTCCCCCCCCCCTTTTGGGCTTCGCCTCCTCCCGCCTCCCGCTCCCTCGCGGCCTCCTCACCTCCATTCGATCACCACGCAGGTTCGGGACCGGGCCAGGTTGACAAGGGCTGTGCAGTCCCCCTCCCTGCCCCCATCAGACGGGTATTCTATCTGGCCGCAGATGAACATCGGCCACACCACAACCATCACAACCACCACAACTACCCACTGCAACAGCCGCAGCAGCAGTTGTCTGGTGGGGGGGTTTTAGGTCCCGGAGTAGCGAGCCGGGGGCCGGCGGGGGGGGGAGCCCCGGTCTGGCAGCAGCAGCAACAACAGCAGCAGCAGCAGCAGCAGGGGGAGCATGAGGTTTTTCCGTCGGCTAATCCACGGGTGCTGCAGGTATGTGTTTGTTCGTGCGTATATCTGTGTGCGTGTGTTTTAAAAGTTAAAAAACACACGACGGTGTGTGTATGTGTGCATGCGTCTCTTTGGGGTCGAAAAAGAGGGTTTTGAAGGAGGGGGAAGATGACACCGCACGAGCAAGGGATGGGGAGTTCACGGTAAGAAATTATAGCGAATCGATTGGGGGGTGTTGAGGCGGTAGAATGGCCGGGGTTGGGGGGGATGGGGGGGAGAGCCGGGTAATGACCTCCGGGGTGTTGGGGCGCTTAGGGTTGGTTTCATGGCCGTACACATTCATTCATCCATTTCTCCCAGCATTCCCCCCATTCGGCATGTCCGCAGTCTCCTCTTTTCCTCTCCCCTCACCAATATACTGCTCCTCCCCGCCCCTCCCCGCCCCTCCCCGCCCCTCCCCTCCCCTCCCCTCCCCGCCCCGCCCCTCCCCCTCCCCGCCTCTCCCCACCCCTCCCCACTCCGACCCTCCCCACTCCGACCCTCCCCGCCTCTCCTCCGGGGTCTGTCAGGACATCAACCGCTGTGACGCCATATTGTACGGCATGGGCTCCCTGTACACCTCCATCTGCCCC